GCCAGTATCTGGACTTTATTTTTCCTTATTTTTTCCTCCCTATTCTATGGTTTATTTTGACATGTTAGCTAAAAAATTCTACTGTTTAGAATAAGCCTCTAATTTGTCCATAAACTATTGCAGGCTGTTATTCGTATTACATCATTGACAGTTCACAAAAGTAATGCAAGGCTTTACAACACTAAAGCTACAGATAGATTTAAAAGGTTCTTATTTTTATTTTCTGATTTAGACACATTTGAGCTTTTAATAGTTTTAGTTATAATGTATTTTTGTCTGAATTAATATTCAGAAATCATTTTTTAAAATTCAATGTAAGTTTGAAAGTGAGAAAATCTTATAGCTTCTACTTTCAGCTCTTTCCTTTAATATTACTAATTCAAAACAAATGGAAGAAAAATATATTACTTTTTATTATTTGACACTGTAAAACATCCTAAAGCCCTTTAATGGACTTTTACCCTGTGTTTGTATGTGCTGCATACAGACAACTTTTCTTTACAAATTTTTGTATAGTTTCAATGGAGAAATCAATACCTATTGAGGTAAAGCACATTTTTTTTTGATTCCTTTCCTCTAAAAGAGACATGTTAATGTTCTGTCTTCCTAATGTCCATAGGAAATTGTCACACTTATAACGTGCTGTGAAACAAAATTTCAGGGCCAGATGGTGGTCCTATGACAAGGTAATGTGCTACCACTAATCAATACAGCACTTGAACTCTGAACTTTTTTCGATTCCAGCAGTAAATACTGTGGAAGGAAGACGTTTGGCTCAGAAGAAAAAGAAGCAAATGTTACAGTTCTCCCAGCAGGCTCTTTCTGACCATTTGAAAATGATATTACAGCAAAGACTAAATGAAGCCCTTCTCCCTGACTTGAAAAATGAAAGAAGACAGTTCAAGAATAAGACACTATTGCCTCCAAGCAAGAAAAAACCTCAAATAAAGGAAAGACTTGCAGGGCATCCCAGTGTGTAAACACCACCTACCTCATTCCCATAACCCTTCCTAATTCATCCATGATAATATACTGTGATAATAATTTCTGCTTCCTTGAGTGCCCAAGCTGACTTTAAACAAACTTGTAACCTTCACTGGCAAACACATGAGAACCTCATTCTGATGGAATCTGCAAACTCCAACAAGCTTCAAGTTGAACACAAAGTATCTTGTTGAAAGCGCCATTAAACAGGAACGTTAACCTAGAAGAATATGTACAAAATTGTAACAGGAAAAATTGGATTGGATTGATTGTGTGTCTACATAGGGAATTTCAGTGACTTAAAGTATTACTATTTACATATTTCTGCATTTTACTGTCAAGCAAGAATAGCAGAGCAGCATCATTCCCTGTATTTCTTCACTTAAGTGCATGGCAAAGTAATTCAGTTCTAATTTTGTCATTCAAAACACATTTTAAAGTTGCATCTGCAGTCTTCTGAGTTTACAAAACTGTGAGGTTTTCAATAATATTTTATTTCACACATGCTGAACATCAGCTATCATATGATGCCACCAAATAGTTTGTCACTGATTTTGAAGGAAGTGCTATAACTTCATGTAAGTATTATAACCTCATACTTCTACTCAGATTTAACATCAAATCCCACTTGCTATGATTAATTTGATTTTATATTCTATATAATATAAATTGTCTTTCATTAAAAAATAAATTAATTAAATGGAAATGGATATTCTGCAAGAGCACTATTCATTTTAGAATATTATTTGCATAACCAATTAAAAAAAAGTATAATATAATATAGACACAAGCTACAAATATAGACAATGCCTATTTAGAATAATTCTGCTCTGGATATAACTTAGGAGACAGGATAATAGTGCTCTATTTCAGATTTTGTGCATCCCTTACTAATTTTATTGAGGGTGTCAGAGGTCCAACAATCAAAGAATTTACTGCAAGTTTAACTGCAACACAGTGCTCCAACACAGAACACTCCATCTAAAAAGCACAGAGAAATTTGAGTTAATTTGGCAATGACAAGGCCTTTTAAGAACTGGCTTTAGAAATCTAGTGGAACACTATAAAATACAACCAATACAAATAAAGATGCAGTACTGGCTTGGATTAAAACCCTTTCCTATGAAAGTGTGATCTGAAGTCTTGTCTCTAACCCCACATCCTGGCACATGACCCTTCAAACAGGAAGGTCTCTCCTAGGCTCTGATCCTCTGTTTCCTCTTCCTTAAGGAACACAGAGCTCTGGGGTTTGTTTCAATCATTTTGGTTTTTTCAGGCGAGAACTGCCATAGCCTCTTTGGATTCTGATTTTAATGCCATGCAAAGAACAAGAAAATACATTTTGCTACAACTGGGAAGAATACAGCTGCTACATCCCATCTATGCCAGGGATAGACCATAACACATCTAGATCACCGGACAGCTTTGAGCTAAGCACATATTTGTGACATGGAGAGGCAAAAAATATACTGGTGTCAAACTAATCACATGACAACCTTGTAAACTAACATGGCTGCTTTTGCTGGGAAAGACATGAGCAATAAAACCTACCTTAATGGTTACTTGTTAATTAAAAGAAGAACAGTGTAAAAACTGTAATATGAACACAATTTTATTGCACCATTATAAAAAAATAATAAGGTTCTGTCATTGCAATCTCCAACATTAAACAACTAAAATGAAATCAGCATGGTTTTTTTTTTGAAGTGTTTGAAGTGTTTTATATATATACACACCACTGTTGTAATAATGACAATAGTGATAACCTAAGCGTAAAATCATTGTGAGTCTAAAAGTCTATGTTCTAGTTCCTAGAGGGGACAGAACAATAAATTATTTGAGATACCAAGGGCTGATACCTAATGAGATAGAGCCTAGAGAACCCTGGGAAATTCTCCATTGTACTATATTAAGAAAATATCCAATTTATCTGCTGTTTAAATCATGTTAGATGAACTGGTCAGATTTGAATGAAGATTTTCTGAGACTAAATGGCTGCCTATTGTTAAATTAATTTAAAATTATTTGTATTCATTAAAAAAAATTAAAAGGAAAATCTGGGGTTTAATGCTCTTACAAACATTTCACAAAGGAAACATTGCTCTAAGTCCTCAAGAACATCAGGAAGATCTGCAGCTCTAGCTCCACATTACTAAACGTTTTGCTATTTCTCCCTCTCCTTTTAGTATCAACCTATCACCCACGAATGAGGGGGTGTATCAGTGAATCTGTCCTAAATCCAGCCATGTCTTGAGGTGCACCAGGCACAGCTGGGAAAGGGAAGAGATTCTCCTACTTTGCTCTGCATTCCTCTGGCCTAGAGAAATTGGGGCTTTCAGTGGAATGACACCTTAGGATTTTAGCTTATAAATTTTTCAAACTCTGTAGTGCTTTAATATATATATATATTATAACTCTAAATAACTCTATAACTTTATATAGAGTATTAGCTCTATATAAAGAGCTAATAAAGTATAACTCTAAAACTTTATATAGAGTATTAGCTACTGTCTTCAGATTTTGCTCAGAGAAAACAATTCCCCTAGGCCTGAAGCTGAAGGACACCTTACTGTCTCAGGCCCTGAAAGTACAAACAAAAGTGAGTTGGGGGCAGGAGCAAATTGGGGGTGTATGACTTCATTACCTGAAGCTGTAATTGGAGGATTAACCCCTGATATGTAAATGGACCAACATATCTGTCTGAAAAACAGATCCTGACTGGTGTCCATCTTGGGTGTAGCCTCTTGGAGGCGTCTGACCGCCCAAGGTACACCCTTTGAAGGCCTTCAATAAATACTTGCTTTTACTCTTAATCTGGTCTAGCCTCTCTTCCAGGTAGCCACTCCAAGGCATATGCACTGGCCAGCTTCACCTCAAGTCCTGTGTGTAGTTTTGGCCATCATAATACAAAAAGGACAGAAAGGTATTAGAAAGCATACAAAGAAGAAATGGTGAAGGGCCTTGAGGGGAAGCCATATGAGGAACAGCTGAGGTCACCTGGTCTGCTCAGCCTGGAGGAGACAGAGGGGAAACCTCACTGCATTACAACCTCCTTGTGAGAGGAAGAGGAGGGGCAAGCACAGACCTCTTCTCTCTGTGACCTGTGACAGAGCCCAAGGGAATGGCATGAAGCTGTATCAGGGGAGCTTTAGGTTGAATATTAGGAAAAGGTTTTTCACCTTTTCCAGAGGGTGCTTGGGTGTTGGAACAGGCTCTCCAGGGAAGTGGTCACAGCACCAAATCTGCCAGAATTCAAGAAGTTTTTGACAGAAGTATCAGGCACATGGAGTGATTGTTGTGTTGGTTCTGTGCAGGCGCAGGAGTGGGGTACCTCCCAACTCAGTATATTTTATTATTCTATGGAATAAGTTTTTGCTATCATTTATTTTTGATGAGAACTGGTGGAAAAGGAAACCTATTCCCTCTCATCTCATTTTTCTCCACTGAGTATCTTTCTACTGTCTCTAAGGCATAGGCAAGGAATGACAGGGTTTTTATGCCTGGGCAACACTATCTCTTTGCACAAGTTTCCTTCCTCAACAGAAGATGAAAGATGTTTCAGGTGATCAGGATGACAGTGCAAAAAATGATGCCTTCTGTTATGCATCCACTATTACAGCTCACACATGCATTCATGATTTTTTATGGGAAGACACTAGATCTCAAAATTGGTGTTTCGAGGTACTTCAATATAACATGTATCAGTTTAAATAGTCTACATATTGCACAGACGTTTACAGCTCACTACACAGGTATTAATATGTGTCAACCTGTATTATTTCCAAAATGAATTTAATTAATGATATAGAATTGTACTTCAATACCTTAAAAATACTGTTTGCACTCTAATATTCAAGACAGAAAAACTATGCAAGAAATAATTAACTACTATTTCATTCCTCTGCTCTCACTCTCTAAATATATGAGTTATGATACTCACTGCAAACTTGCAGTTGTGTAAATGCTATCAAAACTACAACAGTTTGCTTAATTCACAGAATTATTTTTTAGCTTACCCAAATCTGTAGCTTAATTCTTTTTTCATTTTTGAAAACGGTTTTTACTTTGAAATCGATCCCAACCGTGCTTACAAATGCAGATGTAAAGGAATCATCAGCGTATCGGAACAAAAAGGAGGTTTTTCCAACACTGCTGTTGCCGATAATGAGCAGTTTGAACATGTAGTCAAAGTTCTGGTCAGATGTATCTTTCTGGCCATATCTGGAATCTTGAACGGATGCCATCTGCAATTCAAAATAAAAAAGAAATATCTTATTGTCTCTTTTATAATAAAAAATGGAAACATTTCAATTTTATTGGAGTTTTTTTGTACCAGGTATCAATGAAGCTCAAGAAGAATATCTTCTTGAAAGACTTGTCATGTGTATGCTTCCATGTGAACTTCAAGAAATGCACAGAGATCTAATTATTTTTTGTGATTCTTGTAACTAGTAGTAGTTCTGCTAGCAGTAGTGGATGTAAAAATGACTGGTGACAGGTACCAAAACAAAAATAATATGAATTCTAAAAGTCTGGGACAATTCTTGGTATATCACTAAAAATACTTGTTTTCAGAAAATGTGATGAACTGATGGTGAAAATACAATCACACTTCATTTGTGTAAGAGAGAAATAAGAGATCAATGCTTCCTTTTGACACAGTAGGTATATTTTCAAACAGAAGCTTAGCATTTTTTACATCTAATAAAATTCTTGAACCATTTATTTTACTGTAAGTATGTTGCTATCTTTTGCCATCCCTAAAAATTTATTCAAAGTATTTTTCCTCCTTCACCAGCTTTTAGTTACCATACCATTCAATAGTGAGTATATACACCTCTGAAATAAAGCCTTGATATTTTTCCAGTACTAGTATATTCTGTAGTTTTTTGAATTTGCAATATTAATGCAACATCATCATAAGTGGCAGTTAGATTAATAGAGTATAAAGGTTTGGAAGGGATGTTAAAGATCATCTAGTCCCAATCCTGCTGCCAGGAACACCTCCCACCAGACAAGGTTGTTCTAGGCCTTGTCTAATTTGGCTTTGAACCAGACTGGAGCATCCACCACCTCTCTGGGCAACCTGTGCCAGTGTCTCACTACTCTCACAGCAAATAATTTTTTCCTAGTATCTAATCTAAACTTCCCCTCTTTCAGAGTGTACCCATTCCTCCTTGCCCTGTCACTCCAGTTCCTGTCAGAGAATCCCTCTCCAGCTTCCCTGTAGGCCCTTTCAGGTACTGGAAGGTGTCTCTGAGGTCCCCACACAATCCTCTCTTGCCCAGGCTGAACAGCCCCAGCTCGCTCAGCCCATCCTCATAGCAGGGCTGCTCCAGCCCTCACCAACCTCCTGGCCCTCCTCTGGACTTGTTCTAACAACTCCTTGTCATCGTGCTGGGAACCCCAGAGCTGGATGCAGTGCTGCAGGTGGGGTCTCAGCAGAGCAGAGCAGAGGGGTACAACTCCTCTCTCATCTGCTGGCCAATGCTGCTTTGGATGCAGCCCAGGATTCCCGTGGCTTTCTGGGCTGGGAGCACTCACTGCTGGCTCATGGTGAGTTTTTCATCAGCCACCACCCCCAAGTCCTTCCTCATGGGGCTGCTCTCAATCACTTCTCTGCCCAGCCTGTGGGTGTGCCTGGGATTGCCATGAAGCCGGTGTAAGATTTTGTATTTGGCCTTGTTGAGGTTTGCAGTGGCCCATCTCCAGTTTTTAATCCATATAAAACACCTGAATAAGCACATATAAAACATCTGAGTAAGCAGATTACTGAATACTGTTAAAGAGCAACCTATTTTACTCTAGGGACTTCAAAGATCATGGATTCTATTTATGAAAAGTATACCTTAGGCTTTCATGAAAATTGCAGAGATTAGAGTGAAAACGTGACCCAAGTTCTACCTAGGTTGCTCAAAAAGAAATGGCAAAAATAAAGAACTTAGAGTGTTTCAGCCAAGTTTTCAAGAAAAATTATCAAGTATTTTGAGTGTCTGTGGAAGTTCTTTGATTATGATTGTTCTAAGAACAACACTTTTGCATGCTGATCTTAGACAGAACGACAGACAGCATAACCTAACATAAAGGCTTACAGAAAAGCAGCTCATGTAAAAGCTTTCTAATTTAGGCATCTCAGAATGCATTTGGGCAATCAGAAAGGACAACTGGAACCAGGACGACAGCTGTGCACTAACCCACGTTCTCAGCAAAATTTTAGTTACTGTATAATGTTTTAGATAATTCTGCTACCTCAAAGCATCAAAAACATGATGCCACCTTCTTTGGGCTACTGAAGCGGCACACAGGAGTGAAGACCAAAATCTCTGAAGAAGACATTGGAAGTAGCAATGAATTTTCTATCAAAGTTTTTAATAGAAAATTCGGTTTCAGATCTGTATTTCATAAATCATGGAGTAGGGAGTATTTTATTTCAGAATTCTATTTCAGCATTACCTTCTTCATTAAATGTAGTATTGGGTATCTACACGTTTCAACCTGAGTGTTTGCATTGGCCTTAAAATTTATTCACTTCTTCCACAGCTATGCAATGAATATTTAGAATTAAAACCTGAATACTGTCAAGCACACACTTTACTAATCTTTCACCTTTGTGTAACTATTTGGGGATTCTTTGCTTAGAACACAAGAAAAAGGAAATCAAATATTGATTAAATGCATCTACTCACAAGTTGCTGTAAAGCAGCATAGCATAGGGCATGCTGATGTTACATAGAGTTTGCAACAACAAGTCAATGAGGACTATCAAACCAAAGACTGCAGTGGCTGTGGATTCCAGATGTGTGACCACTACAGCAGGCTGTTCCACTGCCCTTATGGCTCCCCTCTCTTGTGCTGCAGCTGAAAGCAGTAGTTACCCCTTGTAGCAAGGAGAAATATCATATCCTTTCCTGAACCTCCTAGGAAGCCTATCACATCTTTCCACATCTCATAGGAAGCCTTTCACATAGCTTCTTCAACCAGCTTAAGATTTACAAAAAGAGGTTAAAGCTTTCATCCATTTGCTGCCCTGAATCCTATGAAGCTTCCAACTCATCCCCACGTACTTTAATGCCTAACACTTCAGAAACAGTATGATTCAGTGAGCAAGGAAATCAGGAGACCTGGATTCTAATAATAGTCTTGCTAAACCATGTACATTGTGCAGCCTTCCTGAGTAATAATGTATTTCCTGTGGATAGTTTTAAATACAGATTTCACCCACAGGAATTTCAATGCCCCTCTAAATTAGTGTGGTTATCTGCATTACTCATTCAGCAGTTTCCTTAACATTTCTGAAAAAAAAATTTAAAACTCAACACTTTCACTGTGCCTTAAACTTGCAGAGTCGTTACTTGCGGTATCACAGGCAGAATTACAGGCATGTTGAACATAAAATTGAAGCTATTTTTATTTCAGGGGCAGGGGTATGTCCACTTATTACAGGACACAAAAGGCATAGGGAAGGCATAGGAAAGGAATAATTTCTCCAAGAGGATTAGTGAGGTAATAATTGAAATTGTTTGGAGAGACTAACTTCAGCTAGTGAACCAGTCTCCCTGTCCAAAACCCAATGAGCCTGCACTAGTGTAAAGAAACATCAAACTCTGTGCAGTTGCTAAAACTTTGCCATTACTTCCCAAACTCACTCATTCTGTAGTAAGCAAACAAGACAAATTCTTCCAAGTACAATCCACATTATGCTCACAATCCAAATGATATCCTAAAGAAATACATCTGTATTTCCGCTGACTGTAAGATGCTTGGTCCTCTTGAACTTTTTGAATAAGCCTGTAGCGCTTCTCTTTCTTAAATGCAAGCTGCTGACTTAAAAATTAAGTATGCAATGCACAGTAATCCACTTCCCAAGGTAAGAACATGATAGTTCACTCCTGACAGTACTTTCCCCTACTATTGGAAGTATATGTAAAACATGAAGAAGAATGTGACAATGCTATGTTCCACCTTTGGAAGTTATGTTGGAAGCAATCACTAGGAATGCTGTGTTCCCACCTGTAATTAAACATTACACATGGATGAGAACCAAATAAACCTTAATGTTACGATATTCTCTCTTCAATAGAAAACAGAATAATGCAGTAGAAAACAGTAAAATGCATACCTTTATGTTGATCAAGTTCTTTTCCCAAAGGTTAAATGGATATATTTAACAAGCATCACTTTCAACAAAACACGCTTGAGTTTTCTCTTCAGTACAATTTTGCCCTTATTTGGTAAAATTGAAGAGAAAATGCAAATTATTTTGATTAGCACCAAAAGCAGTCAAACCATTTCCTACAGGACTTAGGACAGACTTGAGAGTCAACTGAGAAGTCTAAGCTCAAGACAATGAACAGAAAACTGATAGACAGGAGATCTCACATGCTTGCTCCTTATCAAAGGAGGAGTTATGTTGCCAGTTTGAATATGGTGCAAGGACAAATAAAGGATAGCTTTGTATGCTTTCCTGCTTACAGCACATCTCTAAACTCCTTAAACATGGATTATTTAATGGCATAGGCAAGTCCAATCATTAAGAAGTTTTCTGTTCAGACCCAGGTGCTTTCCAAGTCTCATGCTTAGCTGTTTCCTTGATCTCAAAAGAAGAGGTGAAAATAGAGCAGGGTTGAGAACAAATGACAGAAAAACTGTGTTTACCTGCCACTTCCATGATTATAACAAAACATTTGGCTATGCGACTCTTTATGCCTTGGCATGCCTCATTCTCTGGCAGAATCAATTTGGACAGATTTCTTACTTGAGCACCGCAGGATGCTGTGGCATTCCTGGCCTGCACACAACTTTAGTTTGCACTTACATATGCACCCCACTCTCATGCTTAGTATAGGATGATTGGCCCCTGGAAAATATGGTGCAAAAGGCAAAAAAGCCTGACATTGAAAACATTGAGATTTATTCCTTCACACCTTTAGCAAATAAGGTGGTTCCTTTTAAAAACTCTAATAACAGTCATGTCTTGAAGGAAAAGATCATTAGGAAGTCCAGAGAAAATGTCTTCCTTCTATGCACAGTGAGGATAGAGACAGATAAGCGAACTTTAAGGTGTTTAAAAGTGCAACACTCTCTTTCAGTCTAGTGTTCTTAAGCCCGCCACTGAAAGTGGGGTAACTGAGGTCCTTTTTAATAGATCACTTTGGTCAGATGAGAGTGGAACAGCACTGACTGACCAGACTTTATACACACATAGGCGCAGTGGAAAGAGAAATGATTCTTTCCTACATACAGGGTAGAAATATATACATTTCTTTCCATACAGCAGCTGACCTTAGTTGATGTTTTAGTAAAAACAGAGTTTCCTGCATATGCAGCCTTTTGCAAGGCAATCTTTCTGCCTTTTGCAAAATATTATTAGCCAAACATAATCAACGGATATTGAAACAAGGGTGTACAATGGAAAAATTCAATTATTCTAACTTACCAAACTATATGTAGAATGTGCAAGTGAGTGAAACTCACTGCACATCATTGCCTTTCAAGTGTAGATCAACTTACATCATCAGAGTAGTTAAAATATTACCAAAATCCCTATGTATAAGAACACTGTGACAAATAACCCAGCCATGAAGAAATTAATTACTTTTGAGGTGAAATATCAGACTAATCTAGAGACTGGATTTTAATCTTAACTCTTCCAGAGGTGTCCTATGGCTTTTGTTTTCTTCTTTTCTAAATCTTGGGCAAGCTGCCTACTCTCTTGTATTTTTAGTGTGATCTCAACATTGATATCCACAGATGCAGACCAGAGCCAATTCTCACAAATCTTAATCATTTATTTTTTAACCAATTAATGAGAATTAGCAAGGTTCAGTAGACAATGCACCGGCCACTTATTTGGAATTTACTGATTGCCAGCCATCTGCAGAGCACAGCTTGTAAACTAACGTACTTGGCAGCATTAGGAAAAGCCTATCTGCTTGAAGGTATTATGGGGTCAGAATCATGTATATATGTAAATGTATCCCAGCACTATTAGAAACCTGTAGTTACAAATGCAAAGGGGTTTTTTAAGCAGAACACTGAAAGGCGAAGTTGGGGAATACCAAGGAGAAACTGGGATGTTAGGTTTAAAATACTTCAGAAAAACTCTACCTGCTTCACATCAACAAAACTAGCATGAATATGGCCACACTGCCAGGAGCTGCCCAGGAGAGTAGAATGTAAGGTAGTAAAAAACAGTTTTGACAACTTGGATTCTTGTGGTGAGCTCGTGAATTATCCCTCATTTCTCTTTCTTTAATCTAAATTTACTTTGTCTATAAAAAGAGTATCTTAGGAAGCATATTTCTAATTCCCACTCTAGGTAGCATTAGTGGCAAAACAAGATACAGTCCTAAGAAGGTTAGTAAAACACAGAATATTAGGAGGCCACCTAAATAGTGCTGCTGTGAAAAGAAAAAAATAAAAGCTGTGTCTGCCCAGGTGCTCCAGAAGAAATACATTTAGATTTACTAGGGAACATGAAAGAATGAAAATGAGATGGCTAAAGCTTTCTGCCATTTACCCTATTTAGCACAGCACTCAGAGTCATGAGACTAGGAAAGACTGTGTAACTTTTTGTTTGCCAAAGAAGCTGCATCAGACTAAGAGACTAAGTGAAATACCAATTCTACTGTCCAGGGCACTGATGAGACAGCATTAGTGACAATTCTGATCAAGTATGTTTATGAAAGCCACGTTAAAATGGGAAAACACCCAGACAGGTTAAAAGGAGTATTATCTTATGGCAGAAATAAAAACAAAACGGAACCAAACAAAAATCCAGTGAACAAAACATTAGCTTATTTCTCTGGACAGTAATCTGGTCATGATGCTGTAAGAGCTATTTAGACTGATATATATTGGAGCAGACAGTGGATCTTATCAATAGCATAAACTGAGTGCCTCTGAGCTGGAGGTTAGTAAGTATCTAACTAGCAAGTGAACAAACTTCCACAGTAAACTTCCAAAAAGGGGGGAGTGGCAGAAGGAGGACTACAGACTCGAGATGCAGCTAGATTAGTTAACTTAAAGGTATATTTGAGATTCTCTGCGGACTTAGTGGCTTGGCAGGCTCTTGTGCTCCGGTGCTTCTACTATGAACTCACACTGACATATCTAATAATTCTGATGAGTGATAGGAGCTGAATTGTCATGCAAACTCCTGTATCTAATAGCTTTGTTTGACCTTCTTTACCATAATTTTATAATAACTACTTAAATATCTGTAAGCAGCAGCCCACTATAAGGGCTTGCAATTGCACATTTCCATTGTGTTTGGACGTGTCTGCTATAAATGTACCCTGTCTAGACATACCTAGTGCCAGTGACAACAGGATATGAAAAACTAAGGAAAATTGTTTTCACTTCTTTCTTTGGGAAAGGAGATAATTTACAAATTATGTCCCACTTCTTATTTTTTTCCTCCCCTCAGCCACCTTTGAAATGATCTTTCCATACATAAAAACTGAGAAGGGCCCCCTCTTTGCCACTCCCTCAGCCCTAGCCATGAGCCACCTCTCCCCGGTGCAGGTGGACAACTGCTCCATGACTACACAGGTGGAGGCATCGTGCCAACTTCCCGTGCACCTCGGCGGGCCCTCGGTACAGCTCACCACCCAGCCTGACAGCCAGGCGGTCCCAGGAGAGCTGCGCCCGGCCCTCGGGGGCAGTATCTGAAAATCACCACTCCATGTGCCCGAGTGTGACTCGAAACCCACCCGCTGCCCCGTGACGGGCCCTCCCTGCTGGGGACACGACCCCTCGCACACGCCCCGGGCCCCCTACACGGGCAGAGGGTGTCCCTCACCCTCTGCCCGCAGCAGCAGAGGCGGCCCGGCGGCCCGGGCGGAGGGGCTCCTGCCCCGTCCCGGCTCTCGGTACACCGCGCCCGCCGCACCCCTCGCTGCGCTCCGGCCCGGAGACCGACCTGCATGGGCGCTTCGTGCCTCATCGCCGGGCGCGGCCCCGCCGCCCGCCCGCTGCCGCTCGCTGCCGCTCGCTGCCGCACGCCAACAGCCGCCGCCGCCCGCCCGGCTCTGGCGGCAAACCCGCGTCGAGATCAGCACCGGAGCTGTCCCCGCTCCGCCCCCGGCCGGCCCCGCCCTCTCTCCCGTGACCTCCCGGGAGCCGTAGTCCTGTTGCCCGAGTCCCCCGCCCTCGCCTCTGGGAGAAGGCACTACAGCTCCCGGGGTGCTCGGCGTCAGGCCGCGAGCGGGCGGGGCCGAGCGGGCAGCGCGGCGGGCCGCGCGGCGGGCCCGCAGCTCCGCGATCCCTGCTCGAGGCCGCAGAGGGCGGCGGGGCCGAAGAGCGGGAGCCCTGTGGTGGGGCGGGGGCGCGGCGCGATGTGCCCGTGCTGAGGCGGAAAGAGGAGACCGAGCGGGCCGAGCAGGCACCGCCGGCTCGGCGGAGGCGCTGTCCTCCCGGCCCGACCGCCCACAGCCAGGAGGAGCAGCGCCGGCCGGCGGAGCAGTTCGGGAGGCTGCGGAAGCCGCTCGATGGAGCGGAGCGGGCTCACCCGGGCCCGAGCGCGGAGCTGCACAGCGCCCTCTGTGGGCAGGGGGAGGGCGCGCCCGCAGGCTCCGGGGCCCGGGGCCGCTCCCGCCCCGTTATCCCGCTCTGTTATCCCGCTCCTGCCCCGTTATCCCGCTCCCGTCCCGTCATCCCGCACCCGCATTCGGGCTGATCCCGTTCTCACGTGGCCCACCTCCAGCACTGGGGCTGGGGGACCGAGCACCCTTCAGCTTGAGGACTGCTGGTCAGTGACCTTGCTGTGCACAGTAACTCATCGCATACCGCTGTCCTGCTTTCTCTTGTCTCGCTTGGCCTTTGTCCGATGGCTGGCAAACAGGGTCGGGCAGCTCCGTGTCGTGCTGCTGGGCCATGGACATGTGGACATCGCTTCTGGATGGTGGCAGCCGCTTTTGATGTCATTATGAGGTGGTGCTTAACCATCCAAGAAGATGTTTTAAATATCTGTATCAGCACTTTTGCTTAACCCCATCCTCTTAACGCAGAGTCCATTTACCTTAGGTTCAAATGGACAGGTCTATACAGGGTAGAAAAATGTATAAAGGGTGTTGGAGTCAGATTTCAGATTTGGCAAGTTCTGCTCTAATGAAAGGGTCAAGATGAGCCAGGGGTGACTCTGGAGATGTCTGCCCAAGGTTTGAGAGCTAGACGCATTCCAGGCAGAGGAAAGGGCAGGAGAAGGCAGCAGTGGTGGCTGAGGCAGCATGGGAACAGCAGTTTGCCCTGTGGGTTTTCCACTTTACACATGTGGTATACATTGCATGAAGTGAAGCACCCACAGGACCTGTGCTGACAAACAAATTGTGTCATAGAGACATGAATATGGATTAAAGTGTGTACCAGGAGAAATTTCTTCCTAGCTTTGCAAGTTTTTGATTTTACTTGCAGCTGTTTATACTTACCCCACTATGATACAAAGATAGGATGTATTTTTCAAAGATGTGCATTTTTTGGAGTTCACCCTTCTTTCCTGCACGAAACACAGAATGTTGCTGTTTCTGCCATTGTAGATATCTTGAATTTGCTCAGTATTTTAGACCCACCTGTACAGGTGTTAAGAATCACTTTTGTGTTTTCTTAATGCATGCAATTTAGTCTTACTATTGATTTTAAGTGAATACCTACCAAAAATCATGAGTAACAACCCATTTCCCTCTAAAAACAGGGCACGTTATATGTGTTATCAATTGCAGTTAGGGAAAAACAGAGAGCTTTTTTCTCCTATGAAAGCTTTGTTTCATGGAGTTTTGGTTTTAGAAAGTATTATAAATTTACCACATAGTCCTGAATATATATTAAAATATAGTTTTCCATAAAACACTCCTCATTCTGAAATGTCACTTTAAATCCTAGCTGAATAGTTGTTTGAAAAGTAGATTCAAGTGTTCTGAGAAGTTTTTGATTATGGAATTGAGAAAATAGATACTATGGATTTACTATTATATTAAACTTTAAAGTTTACAGATACGTTAGAAATTTAAGACTTAAATGGTGCCAGGTTCCCAAATTTGTCCCAAGACAAAGATCCTCCACAGCTTTCAATTATATGTGCATTTATCTTAACACTGAACTCTTGAAGCAGTCTCTTACCTAAAATCTCCATACAGGCAACTATTAATAGAACATGTTACTGTGTTACTTCTACATTATCATATGTCCTTTTATGAAGCATGGGGTTTATTTTCCTCTAGTGCAAATGTTAAAGTAAACAGACATATGCATAGACAATACTTTTCTTTTTTTTTTAATTTTCAAATGCATAAAAATGCACAAATAACACTGATTTTGTAGAATCACAGAGTGGTTTGTGTTGGAAGGGATCATCTAACTTCTCAGTGCTGAGCAGGGACTCCACTCACTAGACCAGGTTGCTCAGAGCTCCATCCAGTCTGGCCCTGTCAATTTGCATTGTGTCTTTGTTGAAGACATGATGCTGGGGTAGTTTTTTACTTCTCTATTTTTGTCCTTTTTTTGTCTGGAAGAAACTTCATCTGTTTCTTTCTGTCTTCATCAGAGGCTTTTGAAGACAGTATTGGGGAGGAATGAACCAGAATGAAATACTATAGTGCTATACACTAGCAAGCTTCTGTACCTCAAGCATGGTAGTCCAGTGGCCTGCTGTGATGATTCTCCTGAATACTCTTGTCCACAGAGCACTGGGTTCATGGGTAAATAGTTTCTGTTGATTAGTAATCACTGGGCCACAATATATTAATATTTTTGAAGCACAGTGTATTTGAAGCTCTCTTTTAAACCTAATTTCTATGAATTATGTATTCTCACCAGGTGTTAATCAATAAGGGGATCCAGTTTAATAAAATGCCTCATTCTTTTAACCAGGTGTAGTAGAAGCACCAGAGGAATAGTCATGAATATCAATTCTGATTTTCAGGTGTATTGATTATACCACCTCCTTTTCCTTTGTTTTTTCTACAATCACAGAAATTATTTTTTCCCCCATACCAAATGGGATTCACAAAACAAGCTGGGTATTATTTGCTGAGTGAAACTAAAGTAAGAGAAGTATTAGTTTTCCTTAGGCTATGGCAAAAAGTCATTCAAACAACATAAGTCATCACAAAGGCTAACCCAGAATGAACATGCTGCATGTAAGATAATGATAGCTAGGTGTGAATATATTTGTATATAGCATGTAAGAGTTATGTAGATGTAGAACTGTGGGATTTTGGGACACTTTTTAATCTTTGTAACACAGTTTGGGTTGTGCCCAAAACATTATTCTACAGCACATAGAAGATAACAGTGACTTTCAGAGCTGCATATGAAATGTAAGAAAACATGTAATAATAAAGGCACCAGGAGGCAGCTGGTTTGTAACCAAGTGAGTTGTTCTGAATGCATAAACTCTGGAATTATGGAGAATATTAACAAAGCTTTTTCTCAGTTTTGCACTAGAGATCTACATAAGTAAAGATAACACAGATGTGTTATCTTATGTGGTATAGGTTACATGGTATAGCTTACATGACAATGTGACTTAAGTTCAGTGCATGTATTGGGAGCAAACATTCTCTGTGCTTTCCAAACTTTCAAAGTATAGGCCATGCTGTAATATTAGCGAGTAAGAGAGATTCAGAAGTAGAAGAAATCTGAGTTAATATGGAGAATAATAAGGCAAAGACAGTTAACTAAGGATCATATTTCCTTTCTATTAATTCTTAGATCAACATACAAATACTTTAGATTTTTGATTTAAGAAAATGGAGGTTCTTACTAGGTACATAAATCTAACTATTATGAAAGATCAGTGCCACCTGACAATGTTTTCTGTCATGTTCTCTTCCATAAGGTCAAATAGCTTTCTTTTTTTCTGCTGACCTTTTAGAAAACAGTGTTTCTTTTGTTCCAGCATGCCATTTGTCTTATCCTGAGATTGGACTTTGGATGCAGAGAACAGAAAAAAAAGAGTCACAAGGATTTCACAAAGCAATAAAGGTCGTTCACTTTCGCTCAGTCTGTCATGATTTCAAATCTGGCTTATGATTGCAAAATGTAAATGTTGAGGTGTGCCTTCTTCACATATTTCTTCAAAAGTAAGAAAAACGTATGAGATCCTTTGACTAGGGAAACAGGAAATGTAGAGAGCAAGAAAATGGTGATTAGAGACCTCAGGAATATTTATTTCCAGTTTTAAACATTATTTCATCATGAAGCCAAGCACAAACTAACAAAATACAGTTCTGAAATTAAGCTAGAAATTGATAATGGATTTAGCCCTGAGACAAGATCTGTCTCAAGCACAGATCTCCAATATACAGCCATTGAAAAAAAAACTGTGGGGAGTTCTTGTCAGGCCAGAAGACAGATAAAGTACATAGAATCTTGTCATGAGGTAAACCATGTTGTTATTGCAACAGATGAAGATTCTTCACTGCTATATAGATACTTGGCTTTGTGACTTTGGCAGATTCTGAAAATCCTTAAAATCCCAACAGACCAGACTCACACGTCAGGCCGCATGACAGCACACTGCTGATGCATGAACTGGAGATGCCACAGTAGGGAATGAGAAAGCAGTTGGTAAAAGAGCAAGTCTGATCCTCATCACATGAGACTTGACAGGCCTGCATTACAATGAAAGACATGCAAACAGCTCTGTCAGGGATTTTTTTATTTTTCTTCTTCTGATTCTCAGAACAGAAGATACTGTTGGTCTATTCACTATTAAACTTTGCTACCACTAGACCTGTAACACAGAACTGAAATGCAGCTTTTCATCTTGTGGATAAAGGACCAGCATAAATCACCACAGTTTTGCTGTTGATGGAAAAGAGCATTGGGTTAATCTGTGTTTGCACTGTTGTCATAGCTACTGGGTCAGAGCACCACATACACCATCACGTTTCATGCAGCCTCATAGTCTACATGCAATGGCTTCACTGGTGTGTAGAAAAGGGAGAACTTGTGATTTTCACTTTCTATTGCACAGCACCATGGTCTTGTC